TAGTCAGGGGTAGATTCGTAATTTTGTTTGGCTGAGGACTAACCGAGAGACCTGCCTGTATGGAAAATTTGTGAGGGACATATCTGTAAATATAGAAATATGGGCCCAGTACTACTTCGATTTTCCTACAGCTACCCTAACTGCGAATAGCAGACCCGGGCTACCCCTAGGACAGACAGGCCCTATGGGCCTACGCGGATAGACGGTCCTATAGCCTATAGCCGGGTAGGGAGAGGCCCTAGAGGCCGAAACAGAAACGGTACCGGTCGGTCAGTCAGTCCGGTATAGGTCGGTCTAGGCTAGTGCTAGGGTATAGATAGGATGGGGACATCAGTCCTGGGCTTTTGGCAGTAGACACTTCGTGGTGGAAGTTGCTGCGCACACGGTATCAGTTCGTGGTTGCTGATTCCTGTGGTGGAGACGGCGGACATAGCCAGGCCTTCGGAGCGCTGACCGGACTGGGGTCACGCTGTCCGCTCTGACTCTCTCGGAGTCAAAGCGGTCTGGGCTATCAGAGGTCTGATGCGTTGGAGCACGTGGTGCACTGCTGACCCTCCTCAGGAGTAGGGTCCCAGTGGCGGTGCAGCCATAGCTGCAGAGGTTATCATCGTCTGGACTTCATCTTCATCAGGGACTGTTGGCGCTGAGCTTCTTCTTCATCATCTGGATGGCGATTGGCCCTGGGAGCCTGTTTCACTTTGGCGCAGGCCACTGAGTTGGATGTCAGGGTGGCGCTGGGTGTTACCTGGGGTTTCGGTGCTATTTTTAGCTGTTCAGGGTGTTGGGGTTAAGGCGCTACCCCTCTGAGGGTAGCGTAACAGGGCTCTGAGGTTATTCAGTGAAAACGATGCTCTGAGTTTACTAAACAGTTGTAATACTGTGTTCGAGTTGTCATCTCTTCATTGGTTTCTGGCTGTGATCACTCGGTTGTCTTCTATGAATGATTGTTGGGATCTGTGTGGAGAGAATTCACAGTTTGTGTGTTCTGTCACTTCGCTCCTCTGAGTCTTCCGCTGCGTTTCTTTCTGTTGGGCGGTGTGATACTCCACTACCTCTCCCCTTCCTTCTGTGCATGTATGGGCGTGTACGGGAGTTCCTGTGAGTGAGTGTTGATAAAATTCCAACAGACAATCATGTTCATAACAGGTAGGTACCAGCAGGTAGGAGGCAGGCCCAGCACTACAAAAGGCTGGGTACCAGCCTCAGTAGGGAGGTTAGTGAGATAGGACGTCAGTCTTCAGGATTAGCGCAACATTGCAGCGTTAGCAGGATTAGCGCAGCACGAGCAGCGTTAGCCTGAGCAGCGAGGAGAAGGCGAGTACAGCGGCAAGAAGGAAGCAGCGCAGCGGCCCCTGCCGCGCCATAGCTACCAGATCAGGTACTGGGGAGGAAGGCCCTGACTTCTCTCCCTCTGTTCCTCCGCCCCTTCTCTCCCTCTCTCTCTCTCTCTCTCCTCCTACCCTCTCAGTCTAAGTCTACTCCTGGGTTCTCCTACGGGACTATCATGAGTATGAAGGATGGTTATGAATTCTGATGACATTGGAGACAGCGACATTTGGACTATAGGTTGAGGACTACGCGTGGGATCTGATTTCATCTTCCTCTGGAGATGTACTCGACATTGTGAGATCGATATCTGAGACATTGTGAGACACTGTGTTCGCGACATTTCGGATTTTCGCTACCTCTGACATTTCAAGATACTATCTTTGGAAGCATCGAGTTGACGTCATCTTCCCTCTCCTCCTCCCTTCGTTTCTCTCCTCCTGCCATTCGTCCTTGGATGATCTCAGACCCTGGCCTTTCGTCTATGTCCAAGGCCAGGGCTTTCACACCCCCGATGTATGTTTGTGAGTGTTTTGTTGCAATCTGAGTCGGGTCAGAGTCAGTCCATGTATCTCAAGTCTTTCACTGTATTTGTATTAACTCTGTATTATCTGGTCGGTTCTGGGAATCTGCGCCATGCTTATGACTGTGTTTCACGAGTATGCAACACCTAGGTGGAGATCACGGCCAGTACGTCGTCCCCCTTGTGGGCGGATGTACGGGTTGCAGTTGGGTAGAACATGTGCCTGTGCAAACTGTTGCATACATTCCGTATTGCTTAGCCACTGTGCTAAAGCTTCCCTCAGTTTCGAGGTTTGTTGGCATTTACGACAGGAACTAATCCTGGCGTAAGAAGTGCCACTCTTGGGGGGGTAAAGCGCACTTTGCGGGGTTGAAGCGCACTTTGGGGGTTGAAGCGTGCTCCCCCCAAAGCACGCTTTTGGGGAGTGAAGCAGGCTCTGTTGATGACCTTTGTCAGATTGATCTTTGGGTCGCCAAACACTATGGTTTCACTTGTATCTTTGACGAAGTTTTTAATGGCCTAGAGAATAGGCAGCATGCCTCCCATTAGCCAATGCCTGGGGTGGGTTCGTTGACTATTCAAAGTGTTTGACAAGGAAGGGCTCTTCTGCTATGTGTGTGCTTCACATTTATGAGATGCCTTCTTACAGGGTCAGATGCGGGCTAGCGACCTTGATTTCCTCCTTGTGAAATTATGTGTGTTTGAAGCGGGTGTGCATTACCGGGCCTCTGTGCATAAGAAGGCCCGGTGACTGTGATTGTCTCAAGACTCTCAACACATTGTAAATGAAGTCAAAAATTTTATAGTGTTGCGGAGTGACCCAATCGCCGACAGCAACGAGTAGAAACTGAGACCAGGCACTAGAATATTGACTGAGCCTTTGTAAGCTCAGGAGAAAGACGATGATTGGGGGACGGGGGGCGGGGGGCGGGGGCGAGGGGTGGGGGTGCAATTCCCAATTTGGCACCTGAGCAGTTAACCTCCTCCAAGCTGGCCACTGCTGCGCCCTTTTGTAGTGTGATGAGTTGAGTCACCAGCGGTCCAGCGGGACCACTGGCCAAGACTTTCAGGGCTGCTGTCATCCCTGAACACAATGCCCCACCACTGCGACAGCATCGAACTGAGACCCACAGCTTTTGCATATTCATGATGATGATGGGGCATTATGGCTGGTCGAAGATGGTAGCCAATTTAACGGTGCGACTTGAGTTTTGCTTTGTTAAGCTTACACTACATTTCACTGTCTCTCGGATCCAGTAGATTGCCCTTTGTTTGCGGATGGCCTGTTGGATCGAAACTCCTACCGTGGGCTCATCTCATGGCTGCAGGCTCTGGTGTGGTTCTTAAGGACGTAGTTGTGGTTTAGACTTTACAAACCACCACTCCATCCGGACCTGTTTTGACAAACCAAAAGTTGCATTTCCCCGAGATTCTAAAATCTACAGTGCCCCAGTGAGGAAAAATAATTGTGGTGCCCTTCTCCACCAAATCCCTACTATGGGGCCTGAGCCCTGTACATTTTGGCCCTGGCGGTACTTGTATACAAGGGAAATGAACAGTGTGGGGGCCATTGGAGTGGTGGTTTAACCAATGGCAAGTCATCTCGTGGCCACAATTTTGGAAACTTTGCAAAAACCAGCGGTGAAAGGAATGCCCAAAGGTGGTTGGTTTAGTTGTGCCATTGTGTTCTTTATACTTCTTCTTCTTGACAATGTTCTTCTGTCATATATTATCGTTTTCTTTTCTCGCATTGTTTTGGACTTGGCAGCCACTTCTCTTCCCTTCCTCGAGGTTCTTTTTTCTCTCTGCTTTTGTACTCCTTATCCTCTCTCTCTTCTGTCTTGCCCTTGGTTAGTTCATGACTAAGCTTAGTTCATGCGTGGTTAGACTGTTAAGAACCTGCCTGACCCCAGCTTCTGCACGTGGTTAGTTGATGCGTGGCGAGCAGGAAGAGGAAAACTGAAACGGTTTTCACCTTCGCAGTAGCAGATGCAGGTTCCAGTGCTCGATCCCTAGACCTTACCCTACCTGTGTACAGTACCTGTGTAGACCCCGAGAGTTGAACCTGTGACCTGTGTATTCGTAAACAGTTGGTAGGCTGTCATAGGTCCGTAGGTGGTAGGGGTTCGATCTGTAGGTCTGTCRAATAGAAGTCTTMGTGAAGTCTAGAAGTCYTAGCTGTAGTCTTCTAGAAGGTCGGCAAGTGGGCAAGTGGKCAAGTGGTGAGCCAWGTGGTGGACTAACTGCAGTACRATYGCAGTACGACCTCGGTAGGTTAGCAGTGAGTCCCCAAGCAGTCAGCGGTGCAGTCCAGTCAGTCCCAGTCCAGTCCAGCAAGTACCATGAGGGACTGTGTGCATCATGGGCTGATGGAAAGGGGCAGACCAACGAGCTTCAGAAGTATAAATCAAGAGGCAGCGCCAGCCATTCATTCATTCCTGCGTGAGCCATGCGGAAGCGCTGCCACAGCGACTTATGCAAGGAGGTCTGCAGTGAGCCCGAAGCTGAAGTGGGCGAGAGACGAGCGTAGCATAGCGACAGGGTAGTTGCGGCCATAGCCGCCATAACTAGAGTTAGTGTGTAGCGTGCATGTGTGTGTGAGTGCAGAGTAACGCGTGTGGGATATCCAGGGTGATCCAGTGTATTCGAACAGGGAGTTGTTTGGGCGCTGAGTCGCCATAGCCAGTTGAAAGTGAACTCGTGTCTGGGTTGCCGCCATATCTCTGAGTATTGAGTGGGCGCATGTTGCCAGTTTGCTGCGCCACTGTTTGTATGCGTGTAAAGTGTGAATGAAAGCGAGGCTGATTGCAAAACACAGGATGTACGCAACTTGGGTTGCAACGCTGAGGCCCTATAGTTGCTGGGGAGGGAAAAAACAAAACCCTGACACGCATCCAGAAGAGGGTGGGTGAGGTTCTATAGACTGACTCTTCTGTCACTACTGTCTGGTGATTTGGTGCTTTTTGAGTCTATTGGCTACCATGGCATTTACCGTACAGTGTGATGAGTACTGTCTTTCCAAGTGCTTACCTGTCATATAATCCTCTAATTATATGAATCTGCTGCTTGCACAACTCTCCTCTCCTGTTGCATGATCTTGATCTTGTCGAGCTGTTTGCACAATTGTTTCCTGTCTGTGTTGGGACTGCAGGAGCAGTTCCAGACCCTCCTTGGTTCCGAGAACCAGGCGGAAGTGTTGACCAGGATTTTCTCTGCAGCCGGGATGATCCACGCTACGAAATCTATATGGGATCGTGGTCCGAAGATGCAGAGTCCAGAGTCGTCACCGGTGAAAGGGTGGGATCCTAACTTCCTTGAGCCCCGCAGTGCATGGACCGATCCCTCAGGAGTGTTGGTAGGCATTGAGCGGTGCGCAAAGAGGAAGCGGGAATCGCTCTCTGCTGTAGAAGAACAGGTTTCGTATGGGAGGGGAAATGATGCAGCCGACAAACGAAGGTACGCTCCACGCAATCTACTAGGGTCGTTTGAAAGAAGGTGACTGTTGTGAATTATCGACTATAGTCACCTCCTTTTTCTCCTCATCCTTGTGTGACGTAATTGCTCCTGTCGAAGAGCTGAGGGGTATTCTGTCCCTGCCATGCCCCATTGGGACATGGAATGGCTCACTGTGTAATTTTTTTATTCTTGCCATTATTGTCGGATGGCTGCTGATCTCACAGGCATCATGTTTCGAGTAGCACATGATAGATACCCTTTGCTGGATCTATGTCAGTCTGTGGGGCGTTACAGCCGTCTTTCACAGGCATCATGTTTTGAGTAGCACATGATAGATACCCTTTGCTGGATCTATGTCAGTCTGTGGGCCGTCTTTGAAGAGGTCATTCATTCCTATATCTCGTCTGCTCAGAGCGTGGGGGATATGTGATACAGAGGAAGTAAAGAGGGGGGCAGTGTTGGCAGGGAATGAGGGGAATTGTGGAGTGGAGAGAGAGAGAGAGAGAGAGGTATGTACAGTTAGGCATGTGCATGAAGAACTGTTGCTGGTCTTGCTTGATGAGGCCAGCTTGTGAGGTGATAGTGGGAATGTCAGGGCATGTGGATTTAGGAACAGTGAAGAAATAAAGTTTGCACTGAGCCAATAGGATTGTCCCTTGGGAGGAAAGATGGTAAATACTTGCTGGTTGAATGCTGAAGATGTTAGCATGGCTATGCAAGATTCTCTGACATCCGAAGGCACATTGAGAGTGTATGTGACATAGTAGAGGAGGTGAAGGCCAGCTCGTCCTCAAAGATAAGGTCTGAGAGGTGGCAGTTACTGCGATCTGCTGGCAAAATTTTTGCAGTGGTCTGTTTCCTGATCGTGTTCCATTGTCAAGTTCCAAGTGGCTTGTTTTTGTGCCATTTATGTTGGAGGCTATTTCTTTGTCTGAAGATGTCTCCTATCAATTTCTGCATGCCTGCCAACTACCTTTGTGTGTGTGTGTGTGTGTGTGTGTGTGTGTGTGTGTGTGTGTGTGTGTGKAGAGAGAGAGAGAGAGAGAGAGAGAGAGAGAGAGAGAGAGAGAGAGAGAGAGAGAGAGAGAGAGAGAGAGAGAGAGAGAGAGAGAGAGAGAGAAAATGTCCCTGCAGTAAATAATTACTGCTATTGCCTCTGAACTTGCTGCCAATTCATGCACTCGAAAGTGAGGCGACCTCTGAACTTATTTTCGTTCTAAAGTGAGCCGACTACCTTAGTCATCAGCACACAGTAAGGGGAATTGAAGTGTGAATAACAGGAATCGAAATGAGAATAAGAGGAATAGGAATGAAAAGAAGTCAGCATAGAAACACAAGAAGGCCAAGCCTTGCTGGTGGGCACGCAAGCAGTAAGGTAGGCATTATGGCAGCAAGCGTTCAGCAACACAGACTGGAAGCCACCAAGAGGCGGGGAGCAGCAAGGCAAGCAGTTGAGCAGGGATGCAGCCAGGTAGAAGCCCAAGCTATAAGCCAGCACTCACACAGCTGCTGACACCATCAGCAATGATTGAAGTGGTCTATCACTTGCACAAAATGGAAAACAACGCACACTCTATGTTCATGCAGGCCTCAACAGAAGGGGAAGTCGCCAGTATGATTGGAAGTCTGTGAGCACCAGGAAACGTTCACAGCGACTTCACGGACACACCAACTTCCAAATAGTGTGGAAGGCATTCTTGTCAGTTAGTCCGTACTCGTAGGCACATCTGGAAGGAGCCTGTCACACATAGATAAAGTAGAGAACAGAAGGAACATCGCAGATCCGGAGCACATTTCATGGAGAGTATCGTTAGAAGGACATTTAATGAAGAGTATCTTTAGAAGGAGAATGAATCAATAAATATAATTATGTTATCCTTGTGTGTGTGTGTGTGTGTGTGTGTGTGTGTGTGTGTGTGTGTGTGTGTGTGTGTGTGTGTTTTGAATTTCCACCACAACAGCCCCTATTCCATCCAGACGAGCAGATTCGAGTTGAGCCAGCCCTACAGTTAAAGAATTTCACCTTTTTAGGAAGCAACATGAATCATAATAAAACCGTTCAGAACTCATTCTAGTTGGGGCTTCTTCGGGGCAACCGCTCCTCTTTTACTATGCCTCTCATGTATAAGGCTGCCCACGTTGATTGTGGTTTAATCACCACTCCCTTTCTCAGTGTTGGGGAAAACGGGAATATATGTCACAAGTTCTCACAACGCATTTTTCGGGGGTATGGACAAGGCTCGGTAAAAAGGAAAAGTTTGGGCCCTATGGGCCCGTTTCAAATAAGAAAAAGGAAAAAGAAAAGACAGACGCTGTAAAGACTGCTGGGGTGAAGGCACGTTGATGGAGTGTGGCCACCTACCTACACACATTATCGAGTTACCTAGTCACTTTTTGCAGGCATTGCACTCTTTTTGGTCAAATGGGACAGTCCCTGCGCAGTTAATCCCCGGTGATACGGGCAATCAATGCTGGCAGGAGACATAATGTAAATCTCAGTGGGGCGCTGGACCCGTTTTCCAGCAGGCGCTGCTCCCCGCCAACAGATTGGAGCAACCAGGCGGGCCGTCAGGAGGGGATGCTCGTATCACTCCCCCTAGTGTGGTCGCAGGGTTTTACAAAAAAAAAAAAGAAAAAAAAAGTTAAACCGTCGGGGAAGGTCTTTGTGCTCACACGTGAAGTTAGGAAAATGTACATGACGAGTATTCAGGGTAGCTACAGCTTTACTTTTTTCGGCGGGTCATCACAAAGCGGGTTCTTACATTGTCTTGACTGGTAGTGTGCATCTGCCCTCATGAGTCATGCTCGTTGAATCTCCGGCAGGTCATCACAAAGCGGCGAGGAGCATTTTTTTGGGGTTTCCTCGATATTTATTCCTTCTCTATGGGCAGACTATGACAGGGAGGATCGGTCCAAAGCAAGTGTGTTCAGCTGATGCAGGATTGGTCCACAACAGCTTGCCCTGGTGGTGATAAGCTAGCAGCACGTCGCTCTGCAGGTGGCTCATATGGAAGCCTATTTTTCTCGTCGGGCGGCTGTGTCTGTCGTTCGTCTGGCAAGGAAGATGGAGATCCGCCTGTGGTTGCTGTAGGTGTATGACCAACGCCGCATGTGGGACGTGCTAGTTGTGGCAGATGATGGCGCCGGGGGTAGTCCACGCAGCAAAAGCACACTTTTTCTGATGGCTTCTTGGAAACATCGACAACACATGGCATGTTGCTGACATGTCATCAGTATAGAAGGCTGACGTGCGCAGTTATTTAAACCACCAGTACTTGCCCAGCTATAGGCCGTGGAAAGAAATAGAGTAGGAATGTTTTTAGTCGGATGAATTGGGGCGCTCCTGTAGTGACCTGTACGTTTCCTAAAATTGTGGCTTGTTAACGGGCACGACCTTAGGAAGTACTGGTGGTTTAAGCATGGGGGGCCACGACGGCATGCTGGGCAAGTAATCAAGGGGTGGGGGGAGATGAGCACAAGACAAGGGATCACAGTTTTTGTGGGAGAGAATGGCAACGACCATCCCTTCATAGCGTTCGGAGCAGAGGTTGTCGTATACATGCCAACGGAACTGTACCTGTGCGACGACACAACGGGAGGACGCAAACCACCATCCTTTGGAGAGCTCCCTTCACTGTTTGTGGTAGACTCAGTTGGATTGATCTCCGGGGGGTGCAGTGCGTGCGAGTGCTCATCGACATATTGTTCCTGATGGACAAGTCAGACCGAGTAATCGTCCACCACTCGGTGATACGAAGATTTCATATTTCCCTCTGTATGCACCCTACCGCCTCTGTTCTCTGGGGTCCATGAATTATCGGCAAATGTAAGAGCACGGAAATGACCTGGACGATGTAAGAGCACTGAAATGACCTGGACGATGTAAGCGCACTGAAATGACCTGGACGATGTAAGAGCACTGAAATGACCTGGACGATGTAAGATATATGCCCGAATATTGGGATCCATGCCTGGCACATGGTTTTGTGGAGCAGGCTGGAATTGTAGTAGTCTACCCATAAATACCATAGAGAAGTCTTCTATATTCACACGAGGTGCAGTACTGTAGTCCTGCCGGCAGACGGCATGGTGCTCTTCTTCACACCAGCGGACAACGTCTGTGAAATCAGAAACTGTAGAAGGGTTACAATTGTAAGCAAGGAGACGTACATTAATGGCATAGAACGCACAGCGGCCTCGCTGTAGCGCTATGACATCATCTGATTCCACACGTTGCGCAGCAGGGGGTTGATTCGTTCAATTCTGCAGCTTACACAGGTGGTGGAGACTCGTTGCGTCAGGTGCCTCCGGCTGTATTGAGTCATTGGCTGTAGTATGCGCTCCACGGTGAGATCATCTTCAGTCGGGGGCTCCATCAGGTAATCAGAAGAGGGGTCATTGTCATTTGGGGCAGAGGAGCAGGCGGGGCTACCGACTTCCCCCGAACACAACGCACCCTCATTTTGGCTGTATCTGGCCGGAAATATACCTTGTATACATTCATTTTAAGGGCAGATGAGAGAGGCGCGTGTCAGGCGGGTGAGAAATGGGTGGACCAGATGCGGGAAGTGGAAGCTGATCAGCCGCACTTGTTCTCAGAGCGGCTGCTAGTCGTGCAAATGCTGCACAAGGAGCTGCACCTCGTGTCTGCTGCACATGCAGGCCTGCAGTATTGAAGAAGTCATCGCCGTATTGCGGCCAACGGACTCGACATGTACTTTTCCTGGCCAGCGTGAATTGAAGGCGACATCTTCATTCCAAACGGTTGCAAGCATGCCGCTGGAGCAGATCTCTAATCCCTGAAGGAGGTGCAGTGATCATGTTGTTCAAGGATAATCGAGGCCGCTGTCTTGGAGGTGGTGGTGGAGGTGGAGAGTATCCCCGCCGAAGAGGCATCTGCAACAGTCGGTCTAATGACGGATGCGTCTGCCGATGGAGCCTTTGTCGCGGCTGATCCGACCATGAACATGATGATGGTGATGATGATGCTTGATCCGACCATGAACATGATGATGGTGATGATGATGCTGAGGCGATGATGAAGAGGAGGCCTGCGAGGTGGCGGAGGGGAAAGAAGGAGACGGGGACGAGGAAGTAGAGGAGGCAAATGACATAGGGGTTGATGCAGTAGAAGAAGTCGGCGGGGGTAGTATTGGTAATGATGGTTGTGGCAGTGATGAAGATGATGGTGGCAGTGATGGTGGCAGCAATGGTGGTGCTGCTGGTGGTGGGGTTGATGGTGGAAGGGCGGTGTCGGTGATGATGGTACTAGTGGTGGGTGTGGCCCCGGAGGTTTCCGGGGAGGGGCAGAGAAACCAATTTTTGGGGTTTAGCCCACAGGTTGGGCGCTCTCACTGCCCCCCCCCAACTTTTTTTTTTTTTTTTTTTTTTTTTTTTTTTTTTTTGTGAGGGGGGGGTCTGGAGCCAGGGCCGGGCGTGCCCACCCCCTGACCCCCGCACCCCCACCGGGGCCTCGGAGCCGGGGCTCGACAACCCTGGCTGAGACCACCTCATGTGACAGAGGTGTTGGTCCGCCAGTTGTCGCATCGTCCCACTGCAGAACAACATTGAGTCTAAAAGCTTATGTGCGCGTTGCATCCTGTCCATCGATCTCATTGTGAATCCACCCGTTAAATCGCCCG